CCAAACAGAGTTCTGAGCATAATGATATGTGCATTTTAATAGACATTGCGCAATATACCTGCTCGATTCTTCTTTTCGTTCCACTATCATTCGTTGATCCCCGAACTCGATCCCGACTTAATCCTTGGGCTTTTAATCAGATTTCAAAGCTCCAGAATAGCTTGAATTCATTCTATAATATCTGGATAAATCGGAATCACTCCTACAAGGCATAAAATACACAATTAGTGCAAAATATTAGCGATTAAAGTTGCAACTCATTTAAAGTGCAGTAAATTAGAGTGCGATAAGCGACTAAAATATGAGATTATAGCCTACCATCAATAGATTCGATGCTTCTTTAGGCCCGATGGGCATGTCGAAGTTGTTTTTTGCCCATGAGTCATCGGTTGTTCTGTCCTCGGTCATTCCTTCTTTCATTTCTCATAGGGTTCCGCCCGGGTCCACTGTTTCTCCGATCCCTATTATACGGTTAATATCGATCCCAGTTTGATCTAGGTTCGTGATCGGTGTCTCTCTTGGCTCGGTCGATGATTCTGACGGGTGCACGGATCCGGAAGGGGTCCCGAGTTGGTCATCCTAGACCCTGACTTTTGATTGGTACTGCTTATGGACGTTGGTCCAAGTGATGGCTGGATATTCTATCAAGTTTTGTTTCAATTCCTGTGAAGCCAATGAGCTTAGACTGTTGAGCCCTTGGGTGAAAGCGTGAATGGCCCAATCGTCTGCGACCGGGGGCAAATCCATCTGTTCCATTTGGAATCGGGAAACGAATTCTCTGAGCATCTCGTTATCCCTCTGCTTTACTGTGTAAAGGTATGACTTCCTGGTCTAGGCCTTTATAACACCAGCGTGTGCCTTTACGAAGGAATCTGCAAGCATAGCAAACGAGTCAACAAAATTAAGAGGAAGGGTGTGGTACCATATCATAGCTCCCTTTGACAGGGTCTCTCCGAATATTTTCAACAAGACAAACTCGATCTCATCATCTTCCAAGTCGTTCCCTTTGATGGCGCAGGTATAAGAGGTTACATGCTCGTTCGGATCGGTCATTCCGTTGTACTTAGGGATTTCGGGCATGTGAAACCTTTTGGGGATCGAATTCGGAGCCGCGCTCGGGGAAAAAGGTTTTTGAATAAATTTCTTGGAATCCAGGCCCTTCAATATCGGGGGTGCTCCTTGGATTTAGTCGACCCTGGAGTTGTAGGTTTCTACTTTTTTATCATTGGCTTCGATTTTCTTTTCCCATGTTTCTATCTGTTTCGTCAATTATTTGAGCAATTTCATGATTTCGGGGTTAGTCCCCGATTCACTCTCGCTCGTTCTTTCTGAGGTTGGTTCGTTCCTGCGGATGGCTTCCCGGGGGAGCTCGGGTTCATTCCTGCTCAGCGTTCGACCTTGATTCTGCAATTGAACTATCGCCGTATGTTGAGCATGTAGCATTTCGAAGATCATACGCAGATTGATCCAATTATTTTTGTCGTCGTGAGTGTTTTGGGCAATCGAACGCACTTTCCTGCGCACGCTGTTTTCGGGGTCGGTGGGCTGGTTTGTGTCGATGGCCATATGCGAACAAGCGTCGATGGGAACCACCAGCGGGATTCTACCAAGATCGACCGATGTTGCCTCGTTACCGAGCGCTGCATTGTTATTTCTGCCATGGTGGCCGAATTCTGTGTCTATGTTTAGAGGGACAGATTTTGGGTTTGACATTTCGATCCTGACTGCAAACCACGCGAATTGGATAATTTCAGCCTAGGAAAGCTGGCCACCATTGAGCTGAAAGTACTTTTATTGACACTAAGATACCAATGAATTAGAACTTAAAGAATAATGTTAATGTATTGCTTATGAGTGTATGTTACAATGTCCTTGATGAGTTGTGAGGCCCCCTTTATATATTAGAGGAACCTACTTTTAAGGTATTATTCTATTATTCTATAAAAGGTAAAAAAGTCATTGATTTGTTGAACGTTGGTCCTTTTTTATGTATGTTCCGTGATTTCCGCCGTAATGTCCGGTTAGTTGGGGGAATCTCGGATCCTTGTCGGATAAGTTGACAATATGTTCCTTGAAACAGTTATAATCGGGACCGGTTATGACCTCGGTAAACTCGAATGCAAGTCTGGTGGTTCTGGTGGTTCCGATGGCTAATTCGGTAAGGGAGGAACCGATCTCTGGGATTTTATCACCATCTCTCGATCCCAAACTGTCGTGTTGCATGCTCGGTCAAATCTCGAGTTCGATTTTACCCGTATACACAAGCATTGGACAGATTTGGATAAAAGAAGTGCGAAAATCGACGAAATTAAAACACATGCAACAACATTAGTATACTCTTGTAGAAATCAGTTGAGCTCGAGAACAATTAATGTCTCTCTCCCGTTAGGCGTTGCAATTTATGAAGGAAGACAATAATTGGTTGTTCACCTAATCGAAGTTGATCTGTATCCATATTCCATAGTTATAATGAAATCTAATATTCTACTATCTTCATTTATTCCGTTCTTGGTAATATAGTTGACCTGTGGAATACTTAATTCTAAATTCTAAACCACACAATTGGGCTCCACGTACTCTCTTTGATTTTGACACTAAAGTATCATATTACATCATCGCTCCTTGTCTTCACGCCCATCAACTAAACAAACCCTCGAAATTTTTATATATTACGTGAAACCTGCGAAATAGCTTTTGCCAAAAAGCAATAAGCTGGAGTTGTCCAACTTATTATTTTTGGTTTGTTTTAAAGAGTTTTTAATTTATTTTAAGTATTTTTTAACTTTACCAAACACGAAAAAAGCTTAGAACCTGTTTGGAAAGCCACCTTGGAAATAAATTTGGGTGTAATTAGGTGTAATTACACAGTTTGACATATTTGTATGGCTAAGTAATTATTTGATCAGCATGGAATTGGGTGTAATTGGAGGGGTGTAATTACACTCTCCAATTCTCAAGGGGATGTGAGAATTGGTGCTAATTACATTGTGTAATTATAAGGTTACTTTTTAGTTTCTTTCATTTTTGCTTTTATTTTAATTTATTTTCTTTATAACCTTTTATTTTTGTTATTTTAATTTTTAATTTTTATTTTTACTTTTAAATTTCTTTTTAAAATTTTAAAATATATTTTTCTTTGTACATTATTTATCTTTTATTTCTCTATCTTTACTTCTTGTGATTCCATGTAACTGCTTATATTTTATTTTTTATTTTTTTATTATTCTATTTTTTGAAACCACACCTCCTAATATTAAAAATAATGAGTCATTAAGTAACTTGACATATAATGAGTGATGCAATTAAAGTAAAATTTCGTTGTTGAATTAATGTGGTTATAATTTATAAACTTATCATGTTTCCTAATCTTAAGTTGTAGTGAGACTTACTATTATTATGTTGGAATTCGACATATGTTAAACTATTTTATTTTTTTTTTGAATTTTAAAATTTTGTTATATTCATGGTTCCAAATTACTTGTTTTAGTAGTATTGGCTCACATTGCATGTTGCTCATTTTTTAGTTAGAATTGATAGATTAGTTTTGTCAAACATTTGAATAATGTTATGGCATTATATTTATAAATATTAATTTATTTTATCAAACATGAATTCCATGATGTTCTTACAAAACGTATATTTTTAGTTTTTGTAAGTATCTACACTAAATATTATTAATTTGAAATATATATATAAATTATTTTTATAATATTAGTTATAAATATATGATTACTAATTGATATATATTCACGAAAAAATATACATCTTAAATACCAAATAAAATATCATTTATACTTATAAAAATTTTATATAACATATTTATTATATTAACTTTTACGTTTTTATAATTACTTAATTTAAAATTTAATCTAACTGTATAATTACACTTGTGCAACCAAACAGTAAAGTTATAATTACACTATAATTACATTATGACAAACAAATAAGTCATCGTAATTACTAAGCTATGTAATTACTACCTTAATAATTACACTCATTTCAATTACCTGATGACTTCCCAAACAAACCCTTAAAAGCTGATTTGACGAGCTTAAAAACTAATCCAACCTAACCGCAAAATATGCATGTGCAAGGAAGTGACGCGAGGATGCAACGTTTAGTGATAACTAGGAGACCTCAGTCCAGGATGACGCTGTAGTGCTCAATTTCCCAGAACCTTTCAGATTTAATCGAAATTTAATATTGTGTAGATTTGGTTCTCGTCGGTGAGTGAACACAGGTTAAAGAAACATCAGTTATTGGAGTTGCAATTAAAAAGACAACAATAAAGAAGAAAGGAATCTTACCATAAATTGAAAAGCAAGAAAGAATGGCTTTTGGTGCAATTTTAAAACCATACCACTTGACTGTAAAGTAAAATTAAAACAAATAAACTGAAATTCCCGTTTCATTAAAACATTTGAAGGGGAAAAAGTAGCACAAGATTCCGACTTCATACTATAACTATACTCGCTGTTTGTATCTTTTACTATTACAAATTTGTAATACATTGTAACTCTTATATGACAAACTATATAAAAGCATCATTAACCATTTAATAACCCACGTATTCGACATTTTTCTTGAAAAATATGGTTCAACAGCCTTAATGCATGGACGTCGAGAAGATTGGTCCTTGAGGAGGTTTTACATTTACCATATTCCGTTTGCATGAAATATTGGCTTGTAAACAGCAGTCCTATTCTACAGACTACAATTATCCTCTTCGTGGTAAATAAATTTCTCAAGTTTTACACTTGGCAGGTGAGTTTTCTCACATGAACTTGCAAAGACTAGATTGTAATTACCATGTTCCAACATTTTAGAGACAGATAACCCATCCATTAAATACCAGCTTTCCAACACCTTGTATTAAATTACTTTTTCATTCTCTACAAGAGCGAGAAACCACCTAAAGTCCTAAACAGGTATAACCCATACACCAGTCAACGAAACCTGTTCAAGAAGAAACAATAATTGCAGGAAGGGAAGAAAGACTATAGAAGGCCAAGAGAAGTTTCTTTAGTAATTTTTCTTTACTCTAGAAAAGGCAGACTCTCAGTTGAAATCTAAATTAGGACGACTTCTCAGTTCTCACCTGATCTAAGATGTACAGTACATGTTATTCTATGAAAAATGCCTTCCCACAACACTCCACCACAGTAAAGATCATAAAGTGAAGTTACAGTCTGTGCAACAGCTGACAACACTTGTCAGTTCTCCCACAAGAGTTGTAATCATCAAAACCAGACCGTTTTCAGGGAAGAAGAAAGAGCAGATAATGATGTCATTGATGATATCTTTACTACTGACAATTCTTCTAACAGGAGCCAAGAGATAAACATGAATTTACTAATTAGGGTACTACACAGAGCTGCAAGAAAACGAGAAAAGTTTATTAGTTTCGCCATCATTTGTTTAAAACTTCAAATGATTGTTGAGGACTTCAGGAATAGTTCAAACATTGACCTTAGAAGGATCAGTCCGTCAGACTGACCCCAAATCCTCTTCAAAAACACTAAAGTTCTTATACTACTTAAAGTAGGAACCATGATTTGCACATCTACCAGAAGTATCAAATTTAGTCACAGGCAGAAAGTCCAACCCCCCACCCCCCGGGCAGCCCAAAAGTAAAAAAAACACCTCCCTTGTTTGTTCTGGTGGGATCAAATTAAATACGAGTCCTCCTATCATAGTTGTATGGTTGTAGTGATTATCCTACTAACCAACCCCAAATGTAAAAAATTGAGCTTGTTCAATCTTCACCGGGGAATGAGCAGCAAGGCTTAGTCCTCCTATGTACATATTTTTGCTATCACAATATTCCCATCCCAACATCAGTTTGAGAGCTAGGTGGCTCTCCTAGAATAGAGAAAGA